TTGTAGACCAAGGTGTCAGAGGTTGTAGCCCAAGGTGTCAGAGGTTGTAGGCCAAGGTGTCAGAGGTTGTAGCCCAAGGTGTCAGAGGTTGTAGACCAAGTGGACAGAGGTTGTAGCCCAAGGTGTCAGAGGTTGTAGCCCTAGGGATCAGAGGTTGTAGCCCAAGGTGTCAGAGGTTGTAGCCCAAGGTGTCAGAGGTTGTAGCCCAAGGTGTCAGAGGTTGTAGCCCAAGGTGTCAGAGGTTGTAGCCCAAGGTGTCAGAGGTTGTAGCCCAAGGTGTCAGAGGTTGTAGACCAAGGTGTCAGAGGTTGTAGAGCAAGGTGTCAGAGGTTGTAGCCCAAGGTGTCAGAGGTTGTAGCCCAAGGTGTCAGAGGTTGTAGCCCAAGGTGTCAGAGGTTGTAGCCCTAGGTGTCAGAGGTTGTAGCCCAAGGTGTCAGAGGTTGTAGACCAAGGTATCAGAGGTTGTAGACCAAGGTGTCAGAGGTTGTAGCCCAAGGTGTCAGAGGTTGTAGGCCAAGGTGTCAGAGGTTGTAGCCCAAGGTGTCAGAGGTTGTAGCCCAAGGTGTCAGAGGTTGTAGACCAAGTGGACAGAGGTTGTAGACCAAGTGGACAGAGGTTGTAGACCAAGGTGTCAGAGGTTGTAGCCCAAGGTGTCAGAGGTTGTAGGCCAAGGTGTCAGAGGTTGTAGCCCAAGGTGTCAGAGGTTGTAGACCAAGTGGACAGAGGTTGTAGCCCAAGGTGTCAGAGGTTGTAGCCCTAGGGATCAGAGGTTGTAGCCCAAGGTGTCAGAGGTTGTAGCCCAAGGTGTCAGAGGTTGTAGCCCAAGGTGTCAGAGGTTGTAGCCCAAGGTGTCAGAGGTTGTAGCCCAAGGTGTCAGAGGTTGTAGCCCAAGGTGTCAGAGGTTGTAGACCAAGGTGTCAGAGGTTGTAGAGCAAGGTGTCAGAGGTTGTAGCCCAAGGTGTCAGAGGTTGTAGGCCAAGGTGTCAGAGGTTGTAGCCCAAGGTGTCAGAGGTTGTAGACCAACTGGGCAGAGGTTGTAGCCCAAGGTGTCAGAGGTTGTAGCCCAAGGTGTCAGAGGTTGTAGCCCAAGGTGTCAGAGGTTGTAGCCCAAGGTGTCAGAGGTTGTAGCCCAAGGTGTCAGAGGTTGTAGCCCAAAGTGTCAGAGGTTGTAGCCCTAGGTGTCAGAGGTTGTAGCCCTAGGTGTCAGAGGTTGTAGCCCAAGGTGTCAGAGGTTGTAGCCCAAGGTGTCAGAGGTTGTAGGCCAAGGTGTCAGAGGTTGTAGCCCAAGGTGTCAGAGGTTGTAGACCAACTGGACAGAGGTTGTAGCCCAAGGTGTCAGAGGTTGTAGCCCAAGGTGTCAGAGGTTGTAGACCAAGGTGTCAGAGGTTGTAGCCCAAGGTGTCAGAGGTTGTAGCCCAAGGTGTCAGAGGTTGTAGCCCTAGGTGTCAGAGGTTGTAGCCCTAGGTGTCAGAGGTTGTAGCCCAAGGTGTCAGAGGTTGTAGCCCTAGGTGTCAGAGGTTGTAGCCCTAGGTGTCAGAGGTTGTAGCCCAAGGTGTCAGAGGTTGTAGCCCAAGGTGTCAGAGGTTGTAGCCCAAGGTGTCAGAGGTTGTAGCCCAAGGTGTCAGAGGTTGTTACCCTAGGGGTCAGAGGTTGTTACCCTAGAGCAGTGGTTCCCAACCTTTTTCGAGTGGCGACCCCCTTTTATAAAAAGTAAGTGACCCGCGACCCCCATAGAATTAAAAAGCCGAAATTAGTATGGAAATTAATAAGCACTAAAATAAGATTTTCTAGTAGACTTTCAATATGAACTACTCTTGATAACTGTTTTAATAGCATGAGTAAAATTGCATACTATTCACTAAACCTTCGTGGTTAACTTTTTAATTACATTTTTTTTTGTTAACGCCAACCTATGTCATTATAATTATCTTAATTTTGTTTTTAATCGAAGAATAGTGTTGAAAATGTATTCTCGAAAAGTCAATCAATCTTATGTTTGGGTACGAATGGTGAATACTACACCAAAATTGTGTCTGCAGTTTTTCATCTTACTCGGAATCATTCTGCAAATAAAAGAACTCATCTTGTAATTCAACGGGAATGCTGGCACCATCAAGGGAAGAAGAGAATAGGTAATGCGTAAATGCAGATTCTTCTTTTTTTCAGCTCAGAGAAATAGCGATGCAGTCCGTTTTCAAGAGATTCAAGATGCCCAGAAATCGCTTCTTTCGAAATTTTAAATAACTCAAATTTACAATATTTCCAAGATTTATTTTATTCGCCGATTTTGCAGTTTTGATAAAAGTGCCCCGAGATTATCATGGAAAGTTATAATATCCGTTCATTTTACCTGAAACTTCAGGTTAAGCTTATCTTGATGTTCGAACACATCTGCTAGGTATGGTACTCTCTCCAACCACCACTCTAAGTCGTTTTAAGTATACCAAAAAGTCATGTTTCCTTTGCACTTCCAAGAACAATTTGATTTCAGATTTCAATAAAAAACACAATTTACAACATTTCGTTTGACTGCCAGCGTACTGTAGTGTAGAAGAGTAGAACCTCGTGATCTATATTAATGTTTTTTTTTTCAGTTCTTTGAAGGCTCCAGATTTTATATAATTTACGCCTTATACTAGCAATGAACTCTTGATGTCAATTGGTTAGGGTAGTGGTTAGGGAGCTAAATCTTTTCTGTTTTCTGAAAGCCCGATTTTGAGCTAAACATAGATGGCGCGCCATCCGTACAAACCCCCACAGCCGTTCTAACCCATTTTAATCATCCAGTTTCAAAAAAGGTATTTATTTTCTCCATGTTATCTTCACAAAAGAGCAACTCTTCTTTGCTATCATCCGCATGAATATAGACACAGACCAGCAACTGCGAACACGAACTCACGTCTGTTGATTTATCAACTTGAAAAGCAAACAATGGTGAAAGCTTAATTTCAATAAAAATGTGTTATTTAACATTTACGTACATGAAGCGTTTGGTGAGATTTTCTCCCATTGTTTTTTTTTTTTTTTTTTTGCTTGGCGTTTTCTATCGCGACTTCATTTGATGCTTGCACTAATGCTGGTGAAAACATCCTGTTCGATCAAGTCTCTGGCGTCTGCAACTAGCTTCTTACCGACGAAAGAACTCCATATATTTCTGGTGTGTTCCGAATGACTTGTCTCAAATAACGTTTTAGTTTTGAAGATTTCATAGATTCGTTACTGAGAGCAACTTTGTACAGTGCGCTTTGTTTCTTCTCTATTACATTTCCAGTGATGTTAATGAAGCCGAATTTCAAAAATTCTTCTAAATATTTATGTTGTGTTTCAAATTACTAAGGTTTAGTATACCAGTTGGCGACCCCCCAGAAAGACCTTCGCGACCCCCAGGGGGGTCGCGACCCCCAGGTTGGGAACCCGTGCCCTAGAGGTCAGAGATCATCGCCATCAGACCAAATCCATTGAACACTTTGAACACTTTGAACACTTTGAACACTTTGAACACTTTGAACACTTTGAACACTTTGAACACTTTGAACACTTTGAACACTTTGAACACTTTGAAATTCCGGCAAAAACTGACATCCGATCAACTGATTCTTGAGGCATCTGACTCTTAACCTAACTGACTCCTCAGTCCTCTCAACTTACTCCTGACACAACTGACTCCTGACTCAGTTGACTCCTGACTCAAAAGACTCCTGACTCAACAGACTCCTGACTCAACTGACTCCTGGCTCAACTGACTCAACTGACTTTTGACTCAACTGACTCCTGACTCAACTGATAACATGGAGATATGACGCTTGTCTTGGCTTTGATTCCACAGAGCTCCCCTGAGTTCACCCAGCCCTAATTTGTTCCTGGCCAGTAGATATAACAGCTGATTATATTCAAACGTTTTAAAATATTTTCTTGTGAAGTGATCTAATTCTCCCGTTGAAACATTTCATATATCCCCATTTTGTCTACATCAATGTGAAGTGATCTAATTTTCTCGTTAAAAACTTTCATCTATCGCCACTTTGCCTGCAATAATGTGAACATCTACCGCCATAAACCACCATACGTCACCCCCGCCCAATCTTATTACCTCCCTGTTTCCCTTAACAAACCAGCGATAATCGCCCCTGTACCGACCCATCATGCCCGCTCTGCCCGTTGGTGCCCAGGTCATGCCGTCGCACCTACAGGTGCCCGTCTTTTATCCGGCTGGCGGAATACCTGGACAGTTTGAAGCCCCCACCAGCCCCCCCCCCCCCCACCAGCCCGCCCGAGGGTACGGCTTGAATCGTCGGACGACAGCAGCGATAGAACGCAGCGCCGCGCGGCCGTTACTAAACTGTAACGTTCTTTACCTGCAAGGTGGCGGTAGGATTCCACGGATATATCTCTGTGCTGTGTTTACAACTGTTAAATTGCTCGCATTTTTTTAAAACTGAAATCTTGATTAATTTTTTTTAAATTAATAATTTCAATTATATATTCTTTTTAGAAAAATATTGTTGTTTGTTTTAAATTTGACAACAGCGTTCTTTATGTAATTTTTTTTTTTACGATTTCTCTGAAACCTAGAGTTAAAGACCTACTCGGGACCTACGTATATGACAGTAATTAGAGAGTTTATAGTGTGAGGACCTTTGAGGACCTGCCCATCTATCCCAGCCTGCCCGCCACCAACCGACGACCACAGCGACATGGAAGCGGAAGTGCCCGCGCAGACTTTTCTCCAATAACAGAGCGCGCCTCGCTGGGACAAGATCATCTCGTGGGCTCACTGGTTCCTGTGGGGATCGTTATTCATACTGGGATCGTTACAGCCGACAGGGATCGTTACAGCCGACAGGGATCGTTACAGCCGACAGGGATCGTTGTGTCTTGTTGGGATGTTTGTCCTTTCTGCCTGGGATCGTTCTCCTTTCTGACTGGGATCGCCACTGTGGATGTGATACCAGCCACGGATTGAAGTTGACCCCTAACATTGTGAGACCGTAATTTGTGGTAGTGATGTGGTGCCGCGTGTTTCTGGTTGTGGTCGCCGTGTGGTGCCGCATGTTGCTGCTGCTGCTGTGTCCTGTCCCGGTCCTAGCCTCCGTGAAGAGGACCGTGGACCGCCAGACCAACTACGGGACGGTCCGCGGGCTGGTGGACACCCTGCAAGACCCCGCCCACAAGGTGGAGAAGTTCCTCGGAGTACCGTACGCCAGGGCCCCGGTAGGAGAGCTGAGATTTGAGGTAGGTCATCGCTTGTCTAACTTCACCCCCCCCCCCCCAATCAGTGAGATTTGAGGTAGGTCATCGCTTGTCTCCCTTCACCCTCCCCCCCCCCCCCCCAATCAGTGAGATTTGAGGTAGGTCATCGCTTGTCTAACTTCACCCCCCCCCCCCCAATCAGTGAGATTTGAGGTAGGTCATCGCTTGTCTAACTTCACCCCCCCCCCCAATCAGTGAGATTTGAGGTAGGTCATCGCTTGTCTAACTTCACCACCCCCCCCCCCCCCCCAATCAGTGAGATTTGAGGTAGGTCATCGCTTTTCTAACTTCACCACCCCCCACCCCAATCAGTGAGATTTGAGGTAGGTCATCGTTTGTCTAACTTCACCCTTCCCCCCAATCAGTGAGATTTGAGGTAGGTCATCGCTTGTCTCCCTTCACCCCCCCCCCCCACTACAGGCCCCATGTGTGTGGTAGCTGGCCGGTTAAACCTGACTTAACCAGGTTAAACTTGAGCTAAGTTAAACATGGCACAACTTTGATAAACTCGGCTCAATAAAGTTAAACATGACATATCGAAGTTAAACCCAGTTACACATGACGTAATTAAATTAAGCATGAAATAACCAGTTTAAACATGAAGTGACCAATGAAGTTACGATATTTGACCATACCTCCCCGACATATAAACCAACAGACATAGCAAGTAAAGCCTGGCTCTGTACAAAAATGTTTAACTTCTTAATATAGAATCTATTTGTAAAGTTCTCTCCAAATAAAAACCATCTGCTAGATCTAGTTACTAGAGAGTTCAAATATTTCATGTAGGTTGACATTCAATTGATAGTAAAAATAAAACTATAGATAAATAAAACCAAGCTTTAATATACACTAAAGTTAAGAAAATATTTTTTCGCCAAAATAGTAAGAATAAAAGCGATTTAACCCAGAAGTCTTTTCAATACACGTAGCGAATTGTATTTCTCCTATTTATGTGAAGAAAATGAACGTTCATGTTCTGATATTTGGTGCATTTAAATGTGACGTTTGAAAATAATTGTGGACTTAAAAATAGTTTGAAATTGATTTTAAAAATTCGACCCAAACACACCCGGACTTAGTGATTAAAAAACTGGTTTTAAAATACTAGTCTAGATACGAAACAATTTGTTTGCGCTGTTTTTTCTTCTACGCACAAGTCTATCTGCTTATGGTATTGAGCTAGGTATTGTGTTTGATGGAATGGGTTAGATATCTCTGTTTAATGGAATGGGAAAGATAACTGTGTTTAATAGACGGAAAACTATCTGTGTTTAATTAATGGGAAAGATATCTGTGTTTAATTAATGGGAAAGATATCTGTGTTTAACTAATTGGAAAGATATTTGTGTTTAACAGAAATGACACAACAGATAACGTTAATATATGAGAACGCATGAAATGAGAACTAGGCTGTCATGAGTTTACCTACATCTTATGAGAGTGATTGTATGAGAGTGATTGTGTCACATCTTATGAGTGATTGTATGAGAGGGATTGTATGAGAGTGATTGTGTTTACTTACATCTTATGGGTGATTGTATGACAAACTGTGTCGTATTGTGTCTTTGGGAGTGTCTTAGTTCGAGTGTCTCTTATTGAGTCTGACGATATATTTGTCTATAAGTGAATGTCCTTTAAGAATGTTTTAATGTGTCTTACTGCGAGTGTCTTATTCTAAGTGTGTCTGGGAGGCAGTGTGTAGTTATCCAAAGACAGTCTTACCGTGTGTCTTCTTGAAAGTCTGTCTTATTGTGTGTCTTCTTGAAAGTCTGTCTACGAGTGTCTTCTTGAAAGTGTCTTACCGTGTGTCTTCTTAAAAGTGTCTTACCGTGTGTCTTCTTGAAAGTCTGTATTACCGTATGTCTTCTTGAAAGTCTGTCTTACCGTGTTTTTTCCTTGAAAGTCTGTCTTATTGTGTGTCTTCTTAAAAGTCTGTATTACCGTATGTCTTCTTGAAAGTCTGTCTTACGTGTCTTCTTACATGTGTCTTCTTGAAAGTCTGTATTACCCTGTGTCTTCTTGAAAGTCTGTCTTACCGTGTGTCTTCTTGAAAGTCTGTCTACCGTGTGTCTTCTTGAAAGTCTGTCTACCGTGTGTCTTCTTGAAAGTCTGTCTACCGTGTGTCTTCTTGAAAGTCTGTCTACGTGTTTCTTCTTGAAAGTCTGTCTTACGTGTGTCTTCTTGAAAGTCTGTCTTAACGTGTTTTTTCCTTGAAAGTCTGTCTTACCGTGTTTTTTCCTTGAAAGTCTGTCTTACCATTTGTCTTCTTGAAAGTCTGTCTTACCATGTGTCTTTTTAAAAATCTTACCGCGTGTCTTCTTGAAAGTCTGTATTACCATGTGTCTTATAGAAAGTGTCTTACCGTGTGTCTTATAGAAAATGTCTTACCGTGCGTCTTCTTGAAAGTCTGTCTTACCGTGTGTCTTATAGATCCGAACTTAATGAGCAGATACGTGCAGCTAATGTCTGACTACAGGATCGGGTGATGGTCATTAAGTGGATTGATCGGTATCGATACTGCGTCAGTCAGCGTCTAGTGTGGCTGTGGCAGTGTCGATATCGATACTGCGTGCCTATAACAGTGTTGGTTACGATAATGTGTGGCAATAGCAGTGTTGGTATCAATAAGGTACAGTTGTAACAGTCTTGGTATCGATGCTGTGTGCCTGTAGCTGATGGTATCGATACTGTGTGGCTGTTATAGTGTTGGTATCGATACTGGGCTATTGAAATATTGTTGGTATCGATACTGTTCGTTGTAGTCGTCTGATTTTAAGTCGCCACGTCTGCAGTTCTTCATGCATGTGTTGTCTCAATGTGGATGGAAGGATGGGTGTGAGGGTGGGTGGGTAGATGGGTGGGGAGATGGGTGGGTAGATGGGTTGATAGGTGATTTGTTTAGCGAACATATGGATGGAAGGACGGATAGACGGATGGATGGAAAAAAAAATAATCTATGGATTTATGGACGGACAGACGAATGGATGGAAGGACAGATAGACGGATGGATGGAAGGATGGGTGTGAGGGTGGGTGGGTAGGACGGACAGACGGATGGATGGAAGGACGGATAGACGGATGGATAGCTGGATAAGATGGACATCCATTAGGTCCAGCTCCTGAACCAAAGAATGAGCTCCATCTTTAGTCAGCTGATATTTACACACATGAAAACATTACTCACTGTCAAATTCTGACCTTCAAGGAAACTGTCGCTACAGTTCGACCTTGACCTTGCCCTATCCCCTGGTGTCCTAGTCAGTTCACGGCGCGTGTTGTTTGAGCATTTGCTTGCACGTGATTGGTCAACCCGCAAATACAAGGGAGAAAACTCTAAATAATTGTGCGTGCTTCAATATGGCGGCCCGCGTGATGTCAACTGTTTGTTTTGTCCAGCCATTGATCACACAACGGGCTGGTTGTTGTCTTGTCTGCCTGTAGATTGTCTGTTTTCTGTCGTTTTGTCGGGTGTGTCTCTTTAAATATTGTCGACATTTTGTCTGTATTTGTAGTTCTTCTGGTTCAACAAGTTTTGTTCAGTTGAATACCACAACAACACGTGACATGTAAAGACAGCACTACCACGTGACATGTAAAGACAGCACTACCTCGTGACATATAAAGACAGCACTACCACAGTATCACGTGACATGTAAAGACAGCACTACCACGTGACATGTAAAGACAGCACTACCACGTGACATGTAAAGACAGCACTACCACGTGACATGTAAAGACAGCACTATCACGTGACTTGTAAAGACAGCACTACCACGTGACTTGTAAAGACAGCACTACCACGTGACATGTAAAGACAGCACTACCCCACCATCACGTGACTTGTAAAGACAGCACTACCCCATGTGACCTACTTAGGTCGAGTCAGGTTCCATTTTTATTTTATAGGGAGTGATGGTGCAACAACCGGGGTTTTTCCACTGACTTATTAAGGTGTTTAGGGCCCAGAAATTTTCCATTAAGATCTGATTGATTGATTCTGATCAGATGACTATCCCAACCAATGGCTACATGAGTTGAGGATGACCTCCCCTGAGGCAGAAGTCTTTAACTGCACCGCACACTCGCCACACGTGGCAGTTTACCTTGATCAGGCCGTCTACCTTGATCAAACAGTCTATTAAGACCAAGCCGTCCATATTGTCCGGCAATAGATTCTGACCATTTGAACGTGAGAGAACTTAAGTCCTGTGTGTGCTACGCTTTCTTAAGTTGATTTAGTCTTCTAGTATAATATTACTTGTCGCCAAGTAATTCTTGAAGCTATAGCAGTGTTGTGTGGCCTGTGGCTATTTTTAGGCAGTGTTGAAATCTGTGATAGTGTTTTTTCCTACACTTTGTAAGTTGGGTTTTGATATTTTATACATTAAATATTTTATCTAGTTTAACCTGGTGTTCTGCCACAACTGTGTTCGCTTATTAAAGGTTGTATGCAGATTGGATGAGTGTTAATTACAATAGTATCACTAGTTTTCCCTAGACATCGAATTCGAGCCCTAGTGTGTCGTTGTGTTAGTGTTCATCCTTTTAGGCCGTAAGGCATTTGCATATAACCCCGAAAAAAGAATCCGGGGACGTTCACCTTCTATCTGGCTGATAGATAGGTAAACGTTACACCCAAAATCACGTGACATGTAAAGACAGCACTACCTCAGCAACACGTGACTTGTAAAGACAGCACTACCCCAAAACCACGTGACATGTAAAGACAGCACTACCACGTGACATGTAAAGACAGCACTACCACGTGACATGTAAAGACAGCACTACCACGTGACATGTAAAGACAGCACTACCCCAGCAACACGTGACATGATGTAAAGACAGCACTACCACGTGACATGTAAAGACAGCACTACCACGTGACATGTAAAGACAGCACTACCACGTGACATGTAAAGACAGCACTACCACGTGACATGTAAAGACAGCACTACCACGTGACATGTAAAGACAGCACTA